CAGACCATGTCCTTGGAATAGCTCCCACTGTGGAACTGGACAGAATGTACATTTCAGGGATTGGGAAAGGGTGAGGAACCTCTGATTGCACAGCTCCATTTCATGGGTCAACTAGTGTCACGTCCTCTTGATTACCTCCTTCAACACTATTCACCATTAAGCTACTCTGACCTATACAAGCTGAGTTTGAGTTCATTTTTCTTTCTTCTACCACCAAATTTGATAGTTACTTCTAGGTACTTAGTAGTAGTAACCCTTAGTTCCTTGTATTTTAATCATTTAAGTAAAGGAAGAAAAAATAATTTTGTGTCTAGTAAGTTCTTGGCAGGGACCCCTATAACAAAAAAGATAGATTAATGAGAAAAACAGAAGTTTATTAACATGTATATCTTATATATACATGTGAGGTACCCAGGGAAAAATGAGTAACTCAAAGCAATGGCTTAGAGCTCCAGTTTATATGCCATTTTCAGCAGAAAAGAAAGTAAGTTCAGGAAGACCAGTCAGTTATGGGGTGATGACCAGGAAAAGCCCGGTAAACAAGAGATTTGTTGCACGGCAGTTTTATTTCCATGCCTTCTTCATTGGTAATGGTCTAAAGTTGTCTCCTGGGATTAACTCTTTTCTTTCCTGTAGACAGAGGAAGGAAACATTTGAAAATTTCTGTTCTGCTTTTAGGTAAATAGGAGAGCCAGAAGCTTTTCTTGTATCTGCTTCTCATTGCCTGTAGCTCAAAAAAAAGTCCTTGTGCCAAAGTGGCACATTTTAAGGCAGCATATTCTGCTGCCCTTCATTTACATATCATTTTCCTTTACCAGAATGTAAGATTTTAGTACAGAGACTGTTTTGTTCATTTCTAAATCCCCTGGAGCCTAGCAGAATAGCATAAAGCTCTCCACTAATAGCTGCTGAGTGGCTGGCTGAATGGAGTACATGGTAATTAAAATAGAATTTGAAAAGGTAGAGTAGAGACAGGGAACAGGAAGAGTTTATTGCAAAACTTTGGGCCATTGTGCTTGCACATTATTTTGGCCCACATTTCTTATTTTAACATTTTCAGAAATGGAAAATCTTACAAAAACTCCTATTTCTGGCCCTGGATCAAACAGTCTGTGAGCCATAAAAGGAGGAGTTTAAAAGAAGTGACCAGTTGGTTAATGGAACTTAGAATGGAAACCTATTTTCTTGGAAGGCTGTATTAGGTGCTTGTATTTTCCATTTGAGCCAAGGCTTCCGGATCTTTTCTTTGCTGCTGCCTTGCCTTAGGTAATCCTTTTAATGGGACTGTGCCCAGGTTATCTGTGAAACAGGTTGTGTTTTGAAATTTAATAAAATAAAACTTTGTGCTTTAATACTTTCGTTTGAAAGGCATTCCAGCAATGCAGCTGTTAACCAACCTTAATAGCTGCATTGGCAATAGCAGCTCCTGGCGGCACAGGATGATTTTCTTTTATTGATCACATTGGTGTTTTGGAACTTGCTGTAGGCTCAGGCAGGCAGTGATATGTCCAGGTATTACATACAATAGGATAAGAGCTAAATGGTGATAGTGATGGACAGTAGTTTCCTTTGGTTTTTTTTTTTTAAGATTTTATTTATTTATTAGAGAGATCACAAGTAGGTAGAGAGGCAGACAGAGCGGGAGGGGAGGAAGCAGGCTCCCTGCTAAGCAGAGAGCCTGATGCAGAGCTTGATCCCAGGACCCTGAGATCATGACCTGAGCCAAAGGCAGAGGCTTAACCCACTGAGCCACCCGGGTGCCTCAGTTTCCATTGTTTTTAAGTCATCTGTTTCTTGTGAGTTTTAATTAGACCTGAGAGCGCTGAGAGGGAGTTCTTAGGGCCAGTAGAAAAGTAGGTTTATAGAAAGACTTCAGAGGAGTAAATTAACCCCTAGATATTGTAGGCTACATTTGGTGTGTATTTTGCGGGGAAAGTATCTGAGGTTTCTATTGGATTCTGAGAGCATGTTCTGTTATCAAAACATTCAAAAAACACTATGTAAGGGATATGGCTTTTCTCAGTCATGTAGAACACGTATGTTCTTTTAAAAAAAATATTTTATTTATTTGAGAGAGAGAGAGTGAGAGAGGGAAAGCACAGAGGAAGAATGAGAGGGAGAAGCAGACTCCCAGCTGAGCAGGAGTCTGATGTAGGGCTCGATCCTAGGACCCTGAGATCATGACCTGAGCCAAAGTCAGAGGCTTTAACCCACTGAGCCACCCAGGTGCCCGAACACATATGTTCTTTAAAGCTTTTTATTAAAAGGATTTTGATTTTAAGATATACTACTAATGTTTTCATTATATAACCTTTTATTACAGTAGTATTGCATGTGCACTCTAGACATTTAGAAAAATTAGGTAAGCAAAAGAAGCAAATAAAAACCACTCTCAGGGTGCCTGGGTGGCTCAGTAGTTTAAGTATCTGACTCTTGGTTTCTGTTCAGGTCATGATCTCAGGGTTGTGAGATCTGTGCTGGGTGTGGAATCTCTTGGGATTTTTTCTCCCTCTCCTTCTGACCTCTCTCCCTCTCTAAAAACAAAAACAAACAAACAAAAAACCATTCTCAATTATTCAGAGATGCACTCTATAGCAAGTTGGTGAATAACCTTCCAGACTTCTATGCAGGCTGACAGATCCGACTATCTAAACTTAGGAAAATGTCTCAATATAGGTGAGAATCATTAATATTCCTAGTGTATAAGAGCTCTACTGAAGTGACAGAAACTCTATAGAGAATTGTCAAGAAAATGGGAGAAAATACAAGTAGTCAATAAATATATATTAAAAAGTATTCATTCTCAAATTTAAGAAATACAAGTGAAAATAAGAATATTTCTCATCTATCAGGTGGCAAAGATTATATAGAATATCAGACTGTTAGGAAGGTTTCATAGAAATAGAAATATATGGTACTTTCATAGAAATAGAAATAAATGGTACTTTCTGGTAGGTAATTTGGAAGTTATGTGCTTGGAACTTGCTATAGACTCAGGCAGGCAGTGCTGTTTCTACTCATAACACTTTCCCCCCTTATGCTGACCATTTTCTGCAATTCCTGTAGGCATACTTAACACAATGTATAATTTATCTCTAGGTTTGCTTTTCTTGGAGCTGTGAAAGCATCTCTGAATTTGCCTTTTAGAAAATTAATTCCTCTAGGGAAAGAAATACAACTTTTCTATTATAAAGAATGCCTCTTGACTTCAGTCAAACACTGGATAAACATTAGATCAGTCTAGATCAGTGATTCTCAACTCTGCGACAAGGTGGCACTATGCCTTGAGAGGGAATGTCAGTTGTCCTGACAAGAGAAAGGGAGGGATGGCCTGGGCTGGACAGGGTCAGGTGTATAAGACATCCTGCTATGCACGGGGATATTCACTTAGGTGAAAAACCTACATGTTTATTATTGTCTGAGTCTGAAATGGAACTCAGTTACACCATTGTTTTTATGTTCTGAACATGGTTTTAATATACACAGAACATTCCTGGTTTACAGTTACTGGGTAAAGTGAGGAAAGAATGTTTTCGTTCTGAACAACTACCAACCTTTGTTCACATTACAGATGATCAAGTTGCCAGAAGCAGCTGCTCTCTCTCTCTTTCTCTCTGGAATCACCAATACAGCATACCTGTATCAATTTGTATTTGTCACAGAAGGTTAACATAAAGCTGCAGGGATTTGGCTATCCCATATGTCTCCTAGTCACCTACTATAGTTATGCCCCAACACTTACACATTGAAACGTGTATGTTTAAATTAATTTCCTTTTGTTTTTATTCTAAATTATAATTAGGTCATTATGTTGACTTTTTAATTTGAAATATAATTAACATGGACACCTGGGTGGCTCAGTGGGTTAAAGCCTCTGCCTTTGGCTCAGGTCATGATCCCAGAGTCCTGGGATCTAGCTCCGCATCCGGCTCTCTGCTCTGCGGGGAGCCTGCTTCCTCCTCTCTCTCTCTGCCTGCCTCTCTGCCTACTTGTGATCTCTGTCTGTCAAATAAATAAATAAAATCTTAAAAAAGAAAGAAATATAATTAACATACTGTGAAATTCATCTTTTAAAGTGTATAATTTGGTGGGTTTAGCATATTCACAAAGTTGTGTAACCATACCAATATCTAACTCTAGAACATGTTTGTCACCCCTGGAAGAAATCTATTACCCATTAATCCATTCCCCTTCCTCTAGGTCCCTGGCAACCATGAAATCTTTCTGTCTCTATGGATTTGTCTTTTCTGAACATTTCATGTAGATAGGATCTTACCTTATCTCACCTTTTGTGTCTGTCTTCTTTCACTTAGCATGTTTTTAAGATTCATCCATGTTGTAGCATGTATCAGTACCTCATTGCTTTTTATGGGCGAATAACATATTGATTTTTTGAAATCATACGGGTAGAAAGTTACATAACTTGTGCATTTCATTTCAGGATTGTAAAGAAAGTGTTAGCAAAATCTTTATTATAGAAAGGAGCATTGGATCAGAGCCACACCGATTTAGCCAGAAAGACAGGACCCATAATTGTAAAAAGGCAAGTAACAATCCTAGCAAACACATTGTGTTATCAGGGGATAGTTAAATTTTCTGGGACAAAATGTGGTCAGGTAATGATTAGGCAGAGATTAGATACGAGTGGTAGATCGATATGAGTGATCCTATTCAGTTAGCGGATTGGTAAGGCCTGGAATGAGATGCAGCCGTTCCAAAGTTAAACTGCCACCTTCATAGGATAGTTCCCCATCTCAAGTGATCTCCATCAGGTAGACCTTTCCTTTCAGCAGACCCTGCAGTGATGAAGGGAATCAGTAAGTAAAGTGATTCTTCTGAACTGAATGGATGGCTCCCTGGTGGCAACCTAAGGGGATGAGTTTTGCGGAGCAAAGCTGATAGCTGCCGATACCGACCTCTGGTGGAACTTGTCCGCCATTTGTCCCGAGCGCCTTTGCCCAAGACATTTAGGCCCATCCCGGGTGCCGTAGTGGGGCCCTCGCTCAGCTGTTGCGGGGCGGGGCTGCTGCTGACCATGGCGGGCGAGCTTGAGAGCTCCAAAGCTCTGAGTGGGTTGCTGAACGGCCTGGCCCAGGAAGCTTTCTATGGGCACCAAGGCATCACGGAGGAGCTGCTGCGGAGCCAGCTCTATCCCGAGGTGTCCCTCGAGGAGTTCCGCCCCTTTCTGGCGAAGATGAGGGGGATTCTTAAGGTATCCATCCTCCCCGCAGCTGCGGCCGCTGAGCGAAACCCCTTCCCCTCCGCTCTCAGATTGGGCACCCCAGAAGCTGAGAAGGCTTTCCTTCTTACACCTCCACTCCGTGGGCTCTACATTATACTTCTTCAGATGCGGGGAGCTCGCTCCGTCGCTGCCTCTCACTTTCTTAAGGGTGATCCCTTTCTGCTCAAGCTCCCTGCCCCGGAGCAGACACGAACAGGCAGGACTCTGGGCTTTTTCTCGATTTTTTTCTCTGTTGTTGTGTGGGCAGCAATTTCGAGTTGCTTTGGCGAATCTGCGCCAACTTTAATTTAATTAAAATTAAAATTAAAGAGCTGTTAAGTCCAGCTTTCCGAGGTTGTGGAAGTGGGGAGTGTTAAAGTGAGCTACTGCATGCTGGGATAGCGGGTGGAGGATTCGCCGGAGTGAACCCGTGTCAAGTAGTGCATGGTATGGTTAAAAAAGCGCATTTACTAGCTTGAAGTCAAAGTACAAGTCAGCCTGTCCAGTAAACATGTAATGAGAGCTAAACATATAATTTAAATTTTCTAAAAGCCACATTAAAAAATGTTAAAAAGAAACAGATGAAATTAAGAATTTTATTACATTTAACCCAGTGGATCCAAAGTATTATCTCTTTTCATGTAATCGACATACAAAATGTTAAGAAGGTATTTTATTTTATTTTTTTTCGCCGAGTCTTTGAAATGTATACATTTTACACTTAAAGCACATGTCATTTTGTACTAGCCAGATTTCAAGTGACCAGTAGTTACCTGTGGCCATTGAACAACACAGTTTGACTGAGAGCTAGTCACCTGAATGAATCCAGTGCCGAAGTATACTCTAGAGATAGACAATAAAAATGATTTTCGATTTTTGTGGGCCTTCTGTGAGGAACTGTACTAGGTGGACACCCATTTTAAAGAATAGGAAACAGGCTCAGGGCGTCTAAGTCTAGTTAGTCTAAAATCATACTTTGATTAAAGATGGCGTTGCAATTTCATCTGTTTTTTGCATCTGCTATTTGTTTTGAAACTGCTTAGGCTTTAAGAGGCATTCTTTTTTTTTTTTTTTAACTTCTTTTTTTTATAGGGCTTTGAACCCGGGGGGGGGGGGGGGGGGGGGGGGGGGGGGGGTGGAGGCAAAACAGTTCACAAAAAGTAAATGGACTGTCTCATGGAAATATTAGAGGTATTATCTCAGGTGTGATCCTAGACATTCTGAGTAATTTTATTTTATTTTAAAGATTTTAAATATTTTTAAAGATTTTATTTATTTATTTGACAGAGATCACAAGTAGGCAGAGAGGCAGGCAGAGAAAGGGGGAAGCAGGCTCCTGGCTGAGCAGAGAGCCTGTTGGGGGCTCGATCCCAGGACCGAGATTATGTCCTGAGCGGAAGACAGAGGCTTAACCTACTGAGCCACCCAGGCGCCCCTGTTTTAAAGATTTTAAAGAAATCTCTATATACCCAGTGTGGGGCTTGATCTCACAAACCCAAGATCAAGAGTTGTGTGCTCTACCGATTAAGCCAGTCAGGCACCCCTATTCTAATTTTAATTGATATCATAAAGACTAACGAATGGCTTTTGTTTCTATCAAATCTTATTCTCCAAGTGGTCAGAAAAGGTTTCCTAGAGAATTTGACTTCTTACCTGGGTTTTAGAGGTGTTTGCTAAGCCTGTAAGGGGGATGAAGATGAGGGACTGTAGGCCAAGAAGTAAGAACAGCACGCATATAGGCAGTATCTTAGGAACTCCAAACACTGGGGGCTACTGCTCTTTAGGTGGACGGTATGATTATTTTGCTTGGTGGTGAGGTAAGAATTGCAGGCTACCCAGAGAAGACATTGCCTGGAAACAGTCTCTAACTTACTTTTGAATATATTGATGAATAATATCCAAGTATTGCTCTTTCTGCTTTCAGTCTTCTGTCTGAGGATGTAATACTTCAGTTTTCTGAGTAATTTTGAAGAGCTGAAGTAATTTTGAAGTAGTTGAAGAGCTGTCATGGCTCAGTTGGTGCTGGGAATAGAACAGAAGATTTATTCGCCTGTGCTTTGCAGAACAGCCTCTGTATAGCCAATTGAGATACCAAGGGGAAAAAACCTTTGTTTTTTTGACCTAGGGCTGAAACTATGGGTTCTAGATGACATCTAGTTCCAATCTTCACTTATCTTTTAAGCAACACTGAGTTACAAACATCTCTCTAATTTTTGAGAAAGCATAAAAAGCAAACAGGATTTTTATATAGAAGTCTTTGAGCATGTTCTTCTGCAGTAAGAGAACACACAGGCAATCATGATACAAGGTTGCTGTAGTATTTGGAAATAGAGATCTGAGTAAGCTGCTGTGGACAGAAAGAGGCAATAGCTCTTTTGAGCAGGTTCTTGGAAATGCCATTTTTGGTGCTCTTAAAGAAAGTGTAGAATATTTTAGACTGAAATGAGGGGCAACCATATAGGGCATTCTAGGTTAAGAAAATAGGAGTAAGGCAGGAAAATGGTAACTAGTCCAATGGAGCAGGTTCAGGAAATAGTAAATATGTTCAATTTGACAATAGCATTGTGGTATCCAATATGTATTGGTGGAGGAGCCAAGAAAAAAATGAAGCAACCTTTTATTTATTTCTGCTAACCATAATTCCTGCTCTCTAGCAGGGCATACTTTTTTTTTTTTTTGCAGCAAAATAATAACAAAATTTATCATTGGGGGCACCTGGGTAGCATAATCTGTTAAGTGGCCGTCTCTGGGTTTCGGCTCGGGTTGTGATCTCAGGGTTGTGGAATGGAGCCCCATGTTAGGCTCCCCGGTCAGTGGGGAGTCTGCTTGGGACTCTCTGTCCTTGTCTCCTTCAACCCCTCTCCCCCTGCTCATGCCCTCTCTAAAATAGATGAATAAATCTTTAAAAAAAAAAGAAATTTTTTTTATCATAACCATTTTGAAGTGTACAGTTCAGTAGTATTAAATACATTTATAATATTGTGCATCCATTACCACCATCTATATCTATAACTCTTTTCATCCTGTGAAACTGGAATTCTGTACCCATTAAACACTAACTCCCCATAACCACCATTCTACTGTTTCTATGATTTTGACTACTCTTAAGTATCTCATGTAAGTGGAATCATGAAGTATTTGTCTTTTTTTTTGTGTGTGGCCGACTTACTTTGCTTAGCATAATGTCATCAAGGTTTATGTTGCATATGTCAGAATTTCCTTCCTTTTAAGGGCTGAATAATATTCCATTGTATGTATATCCTACACTTGCTTTATGCATTCATGTCATTGGACACTTGTGTTGCTACCATGTTTTAGTTGTGAATGATGCTGCTGTGAACACAGGGTTGCAGATACCTCTTTGCGACGCTGCTTTCAGTTCTTTGGGGTAAATATCCAGAGGTGGAATTGCTGGGTCATATGGTAATTCTGTTTGTAATTTTTTGAGAACTGCCAGCTGTTTTCCATAGTGGCTGTACCATTTTACATTTCCACCAACAGTGCATAAGAGTTCTGATTTCTTGGGGCACCTGGGTGGCTCAGTGGTCTAATTTCCTCTGCCTTTGGCTCGGGTCATGATCCCAGGGTCCTGGGATCGAGCCACGCATTAGGTCTCTCTGCCCAGCAGGGAGCCTGCTTCCTCCTCTCACTCCGCCTGCCTCTCTGCCTACTTGTGATCTCTGTCAAATAAATAAATAAAGTCTTAAAAAAAAAAAAAAGAGTTCTGATTTCTTTACATCCTTGCCAACACTTGATATTTTCTGGTTTTGTTTTGATACGAGCCGTCCGTATAAGGTGAGCAGGGTATATACATTTTTATATGTAGATAACAGCAGAATTAAAAACATTTTTTTCTTTTGTCTTTGTGGAGTCGCAGCTATCTTGAATTCAACATGCAGGCTAGAAGAGCAGAGAAGAAAATAAAAAAATGAAGGAGTCTGAGCAAAGGAAACAAACTGAGGATAAAAGTGGAGTAGTACCTTATCTCATTTGGTGGCCACACCTTTCAGTCATCTGTAGAAAATCAAGTTCTGTGAAGAAAGTGAAAGTGAGAGGAACAACAGGAGTAGGAGGAAAGGATGTTTAACTCCCGGCAGGGAATAGGATATACGTGTTAGGTTCCTTATTGCAGTCATTTATAGGCTGTGTTTCAGATATCCCGAGCTGCAGTCTCTCCTTCTGATCTTCACATTGTGTGCCCAGATGTATTGTACTGATTGTGGCATTTGTACTAGTCTCTGTTTTCCGCTTGGAAGTTTTCCTATCCTACGTGGCTGGGACATGGATCCTCTCTAGCCTTACCTATTGCTCGCTAGAGGGGACACCTTTCATCAGTTTGTAGATACCTGAAGCTGGCCATTTGTTTGCTCCAGTTTTGTTTTTGGTAGCTCCTGAGGGGCAGTGAAAGCAGTAAATTGGGAGTGATGTGTTTAGTTAGGGAGATGACCTCATATATAAATACTCTGCCATTTTAACCCATCTTTTGGTTTATTTATAATTTCAGCTTATTCTAGATATTCATTTGTAAATTCTTTATTTCTTGCCTCTGCTGTTAACCTTGCAAGAGATGCTTCTTATCCTAGTTTACTGGAATTCTAGAGAAAGATGATACTTAACTGAAGCTACATCACCTTTTGTACTTACCTTCTGTACTCACCACTGGCCTATGTTTGTATTCACTACTGCCCTCTTTTGGTGATAATTTTGTGTTCCCTCCCTGAGGTTTTATATTAAAAAATTTTTTTTATTAAGTTTTTATTTTATTTATTAGGGAGAGCGTGTGCACGAGCAGGGGCAGGGCCAGAGAGAGGCGGAGAAGCAGACTCCCTTGATGAGCAGGGAGCCTGATGTGGGGCTTGATCCCAGAGCCCTGGGATCATGACCTGAGCCAAAGGCAGATGCTTAATTGACTGAGCCACCCAGGCGCCCCAAAGCCTAACACATTTTCTGTCTGAACCTTTACAGAAAAAAATGTGCTGATTCCTGTCTCA